TTTTTCTCCTCTTTTTGGCGGAAAAATCTTGTTTCGTTTACATTCGACCGTTACAAGAATGGTATTTGTGCGAGAGAGCATTGTTCATTGTGCACAACGGCGTACACCTGCGCTTTATGATTACTAAAAACGGAAGAACTCCCCCGTATACCTGTTTCACCTGTACTTTTCTGTACTTTCACGCGTGTATCATGTAAATGATAAAAAATGTAAATACGCTCTTTAAACGATATTCTGTAGAGAGCGTTCATGAATCGAATAAATTATGGGTCGGAAAGATACGTTTTTTTTTTTTTTTATACATTATTCTCGATTTTTATATATCGTAGTTGGTATTAATTTAAATATGTAATAGTTATTTTGAAATTATAGAATAGATTTTTCAGCATATAATTGTATGAGGAAAAGAAAATATTCTATTCATTAGAAATAAATAAGGGAACTTTTTTAATAATTTTATCATACATAGAAATATTTATATCAAAAATCTTGTATTATCAACAATCGATAAAGTTTGCGTGTTCGGACAATGATAAAGTAGATTCGTTTCCAAAAATTGATTCCTTCTTCGTAAAGATTGAGAAAATATAAAGATAATAAATTACGTTGCAAATTAATAAATCTAATATATAATAATCTTACGAATAATTACATTCGATAAATAAATTGTTAGTAAAAATGGTGAATTATTAATTAAAAAAATTAATAAAGTTATAAATTTATAAGTAACTTTATTACTAATTAATAAAGAAAACAACCAAAATAAATTGTTAGTAAAATATTAAAATTATAATTAAATATTTTTTACTTCTGTTATTAACGATACGATGGCTACAGTGCTTCACTTTACCTACCGAGTCTTATTATGTTTATGTCATGCGAACTCCAATTATCAAAGTTACGCGCGTTAATTTTGATTATAAATAAAAACACTTTTCATAAATATCAAAATATCTTTTAACAGATGTTTTATTATCTAATAAATATTTTATTCGATCAGAGTTTTTAAAGTGCACGTTTCATTCGTGATATGTTTCATAAGATGAAC